AGCGACATATAAAAATCGAATGTGGACCTACTTATTTTTCAATTGAATGTAATTGACTACCTAATTGAGTGACACGTAAGCATGGGCTCCTTTTTAATTATTACAAAATTGAGGTTACAATTTTTCAAATGTTTCTCAATTAATATATAGGGGATTTTTATTATAAAAAGATACACATGATTTTAAAACCATATGAGTAAAAAGTATCATTCAATAATAATAATAAAAAATATATATATATAGATTAAACTATATACCATATAAGATTACATACTTATTTTAATTTAAAAAATTTCAATGAATTTTCAAGAACATTTATAAATTATAAACGTATTAAATTTTTCACATTGAAAATTTTTGTTATCAATGATTTAAATATATTAGTTCTTTTTTTTTTAATTTTCTATATTTTAAAGATATTAACACAATCGATAATATGGTTATTTTTGGTATATACCATACAAACCGAATGTATGTGATTTTATAAAAACCGTAAGATTTGGATATGGTTTGATTTATAATCGATTAAACTGAAACATATAAATATATATATATTTATTTGTTACATGAGTTGAACTATAATTATGATTTGTAAATCACTTGAAATATAATTAACTAACAATTTAATGCAACTGAGGCTTCTTATTTTCTTCGTCTTTTTATATATTTTTTTTCTTTTTTTTAATAAAAACTAAATTGAAGTAAAAATTATAAATTTGATGGACAACAATTAGTTGAAATTCTTTACAATCTTTTTAATCTTTAAACAAACAGAGTTGTGTTCAATCGAAGACATATTAATTTGATGAATACTAAATATGAAAGAATATAAAAACTTTTCTTTCATGCTTCTGTTTTGTTTTTATTTTTATTCTCAAAATTTAGAGATTCGATATTAATTCTAGATTTGATCATTTTATTAGATCATAGAAGCTTTTTTTTGTTTTTTATTCTTTTAGGTAAATATATAATATTTTTTTTAGTAAATGACTTTTTGACAATATGACTCTAAATATGATCATATTATTTATTTTTATAATATATAATATGATTACAAACTAAATAATGATGTATTTTGGTATAAAATTGAATGAACTGAAAATCAATATATAAACCAAATCAAAATGAATTAAATATAGATATAGAATAGTAGTTATATTTTAATAACCAAAATACTGAAACCTGATATCCAGATTGAACATCCTTAATCTAGATGAAACCGAACTTTTGTTTCATTTTTCAAAACATAATAAAAATAATAATTTCATCCCGCGCAAGGCGCGGATCTTATCCTAGTTTTATAGTCATCGAACTTTTAATGTAACTAAAATTTGATCAGCAGAGTAGGTCACGTATTATATATGGCTCTAGCTATAAGCATCACTTGTGCTGGTGTCACACAACATAGACCTTATACCATGATTAACCCAAAGTTTATAAGATGAGATTCTTAGCGGAAATTAAGAAACTATTTCTTAATCTTTAATTAAAAGAAGTTAAGAACCATTTTTAAAATATTTATTTAAAAAGTAATTTTTAGTTTTTAATTAAAAATTAATAAACAGTTTTTTAATTTCCGCTAAGAACACCACCCTAAGAATTTTGGATTAATGCTCTTATATTGTTCACCGATCGTCCCATATAAAAAATCTCTATCAACAAGTTTGTTCGATAGCTCCATCCTAACTATTTCAATCAATATGTTTATCACCATGAAGAATTAAGAGAATGCAAGTTTAAACAACGTCATAGAAGAACATGAATATAAACATAATACTCATAAGTTAATTTGAAATCATACAAAATGTGGAAGTTCTTTAATTTTTTTTTTGACTGAAGGCTTGAAATTCTTTAATATTCACATATACAAATATAACATATGCGACCATCCACAATGGTGTACTCCTTTGGAGTCCTTAGGAAAAATGTTTTTTGAATTTTTAATAATTATTTTTTCAGATAAAAAAAAAATCAACGAATCACGGGTTGCCACGTGAAAGAATTTTTCGGACAGAATCCTTAACTTTTAATGGGTTCCACTGATTATTTAATTATTTTTTTCCTAAGGACTTCCCGCTAAAAACCGCCATTACGGATGGTCTGAGCAGCGTACCAATAAAGAAAAGCTAAAGTTCTATAGTACAACATCAAAGACTCTCTTTAAGATAGACACCTCTTTTCAAGATACATCCACATTATCCTTATATGAATGTAATATATATGAATATCACTTTATTCTTGAAATCTATATGTTGAATCAATAGTCAGGTCGATTCCAACTAAGCATGTATTAATTCTCCTATTGTGTTTTGGTGTAAACGTAGCTTATTCTTTTACACCAAGTATTTCTTTTCTATGCTCTTGACACATGTTACATATGATATTGATCTCGTTTCCGCGTCAATTAAGAACATGAATTCATTTACTTTTGGTTAATAATTAGCGACATGGGCTGCTGTCGATGAAAACCTTTTATTGGGGACATAGCAATTCACATATGACAAGCATATATAATTTTAAGTATGAATATTTCGCTTGTATGGTTTTTGACACCACATTGTTTCGCTCTCATAGTGGACCACTAATTGTCAAAAAACATATACATGGGTTATGTACATCAATGAAAGTAGCTCTGGATATAAGTTCAAACGCAAACTCGTTACAAAACGTGAAATAAACATGTCAAAATCGTAAATTGAACCAATAAGTAACCATACGTACCTAACAATTTCCATAAAATTTCGAGGTGTGAGCAACGATAACACAATTAATTGTAGCCAATGGGCCAGCTTACTCTCTTAGACTGATCGGCCTGCACGTGAAATATGAGTAGATTTGCTCCACAATATCCAACGTTTTGCATGAGTTGGTTTATAGGTTAAATAAAATTACTTTAAATTTTGAAAATATTATAAATATTAAATTATTAAGTTTCTTTGGTTTTATAAATTAGTAAGTTAATTTTTATTTTTCTACTTTCATTCGTATAAACCTCTTTAAACTCCACTCTTTTAGTAAGATGCGTTGTCTTATATATAAATAAGTAAAAATTACATAGAAGCTATGTTTTATGTTTGTGAAAATCAATTAAGAAATAAAGAGGTTTGGATCTAAGCTATTCAAAGTGTGTTTATCCCACCAATGAGATTTTTTTTTTTTTTGATAAAAATGTTAAGAAACCAATGAGATTTATTAAACCTCTTTCTAGAATCTAGCCATATCTGGTAATTCATTGTTTGAGTGACAATTGTTTCTATGCATTTATATATGACAAAACCATGTTTCATAACAAAATGGTTTGAGATCGACATACGAGCTTTGATCCGTTTGAACATCTCTAAGTGTTAGTGTAAAAGCCCTACAAAATCGAATATCTTAAGATGCATAAACGGTGGTCCACTTCATCAGCACCACATGGATGTACATTGCCAAGATCTGTAAAGAATATATTAATTCTTACTTAATTTTAATCATTCAACATTTCACAAAAGTTTCCACTTAAGGAGGAAACATTAACAACATCCTATAATTATCCTTTAAATATTAAGGGACTTGTTTTTTTGTTGTTGTGTGATCCAGTTTGGGTCTGAAACCAATTTTCTTAGAAGGCGACGTCGTAGTTGTGGTAATTGATTTAGTCACACGTCAAGTTGTGAAGATATATCATTTTTCTCAAATGTTGTTCACATCAAACGAATTTTTAAATAATACAATCAAATAAGTTTAATTTCTTTGGAGACTATTTTGTTCTTATCTATTTATTGGCCATGTGAGGTCATCTCTTCCCCATATCTGACTTCAATTCCATAAATACAAATCCTCTCTTCATCCTTTTTTTTTGTGTGTTCTTCAGATTCTTGGAAACAAACTTAAAACAAACTTAAAGGCATAAAAAAACGGGGGTTAGTGTTGACGGTGACAAAAATGCCTTGTCTTTACATTACTACAAACGTGAGTATGGAGGGCGTTGACACCGATCCGTTTTACTCGGAAGTCACAAAAGCCGTCGCTTCCATTGTTGGACGGCCTCAAAATGTAAGAAGCTCTCTTTGCGTTTGGTTCATCTTCCCTTTAAGTTTTGGACCAGCAGGTGCATCTTGTTTAAATCATAAGATGCATCTTTGCCTTAATCTTGATGGAGCTCAATCATGTTTCTCCCTTTTATAGTTTTTTCACACAAATTTAATTCGGTTTACTGCATAATAATGTATGATTGATTCTAAAAGTTACTTAAATTTTTATGCACCAATAAAAATTCATATTAGTTGGAAGATACGAAAAGTCAACTTAGTAAATACATTTTTTAAATGGAAAATGGATATCAAATTTTAGAAAATTATAAATCCAAGTCAAATGGGTTGTAAGTTATTCATTTACATAATCGACAAATCATAAAACGGATAGTTTACCTCAATTTTGTTCATTTTAAGTTTCTTTATTTTTACGCAGTTAATTTGTGTTTGTACACAACACACTCAGTTATTTCTTTCTTCTCTTATTAATTTATTTCATAAAGAGAGGGAGCTTATTTTTTGTTTATAAAAGGGAGGGTACTGGGAAAGATATTTGAGGCATCTTGTAGAACTTTTAGATTTCGCTTGAATATATCGAAATGCATAAAGATAATATTTTATTAATTTCGTAGGGATGCAATGACAAAACATTGTTTACTAGGTTTCACTTAAATTGGAATCTTGAAAATAGAAAACTCTTTGCTAAAAAACAAAGTCAACATCATCCTTTTTATTTTGTAAGATATTTTGTATGTACAATAATTGAAATGTTATGAATAGATCTTCCTTGCCTATCATGTGAATTGTGGTGCCTACTGAAACCCAATGAACCATAGCATGGCCTAGTATTCCTTTTCCTCAAAACACTGAATTTTTGTTGTGTTGAGGAGAATAGAAATCTTTTCAGATTGTAAGTTTATTAAACAAAAAAAATGTTTATTGCAGTTGGTGATGGTGGTCCTGAAGGGGTCAATAGAGATAGTGTTTGGAGGGAACAAAGAAGCAGCTGCATATGCAGAGATTGTGTCTATGGGAGGCATCACTAAACAAGTTAAAAGAAAGCTTATAGCAACCGTTGGTTCTATTCTCCACTCTCATTTTTCTATTCATCCTACTCGTTTTATCTTTAAAGTTTTTGATATGCAAGCTTTGCCTCTTCCTTCTAAGCTATAGTTTTATGATATGTTTATTGTTCACCAAACACAAAGTTATAAGTTTGGTTGGTACGACCGCATACACATCAATATATCTTTTAAACTTTGTATCATTGTATCTTTACAAGTTCCATTATTAGATTATTATATCATCATTCGATAAGATCTTGACCAACTAATGTTAAATATAAATATTGAAAGAAAACATAAGGATCGAGGGATGTCCTAATCCGAGAGACTAGATTTAGTCTTTGGACTCGGTCATAATTCCATTTTCATGTATTTACTCTTGAGAAGAATTAGTCACCTTTTGAAGATTAAGAACAAACTTTGAAATCTTTAAGTTTTCGGTTTGTAATCGTTATTTTAAACAAGAACATACAGAAATGAAACTATAGATGATAAAACATTTCTCTAAAGAAAGGAAAAAAAAAACCACTAGTGTACCCTCTTTGGTTATGATTGGGACCAATTGGTACACTCGTTTTTGATATGGACCACAGTAGAGTGGCATCTTCACAGTGGCATCAAACAAAGGAATCCAGAAGATTGCAAGATGTGAGATTTCAAAATGCAAACTAAACATGAGCGATGATGGTATCGTTTTGGAGAAAGTTAGTCACCGACACTAGAGATAAGTCTAGTACAAGATGAAGACAACTAATTATAAAATCATGAAGAAACTAATTATAATAATACATGAAGAAAGCTACATGAACCAACTAGAAAACTAAATCCATTGGGTACGATTACGCCTCATTTGGAATAGGAAACAAACGAATGTTGATTTATTGGTGACAGCACTTAGCGGCCCTTAATTAGAAAGGCGTACAAGCTATAAGAAAAACAACGAGTGTGATACTGTGATTGGTTTTTGTTAAAATAAAAGGGAGTAAAAAAGGTGAAAAGGATTAAAAAATGATATAAAAGGAGAAACAGGAAATAATAATAGAGTAAATGGTGCTTTGTTCAAAAACAAAAGAAAAGAAAAAGAGTAAATGGTGATGGTGCTCTAGCAAAAACATAAAATAAAACAGTAGTGTAATTTTCTCTTTTAAAACAGTGCAAAAACATAAAAAAATAAAACAGTAGTCTAATTTATCTCCTTTTCTTGGATTAATCGCAGTAAAAACAATGAGGACGATGCTTTGGCCAAAATTAACCATCCAACCAGTAAAATAAATGGTGAGAAAAAAAGTAGAATAACATATGTTACTCTAATAAAATCTAGAATAAAAAGTAAAGTGTTTTTTTTTTGAATTGTAACTATGATAACTACCAGATTATAATATTATATTTGATATAAAATTCTAGCTGAACTGAGAATAATGTTAATCTGGGGTAAATTTGTTATCTAAAACAACCAATCAGTTACTACCTAAATTAACCATCCAACCAGTACAATTATTTTTTTTGTTCAACTCCAGTACAACTAAATTACTTTTATGAATTAAACTCCACAAAAAATTAAATAATAAACAAAGAGGTCTTAAAATAACCATAACTCTGAAAACAAGATATGCATACGCTAAAAAGTGTTTTTGAAGGATCTTCTTACGTCTTGTACTTAGATCACCTTCAATCATGTTTCATTTTTTTTACTTTAATTTACTTTGAAGAAAGTTTTGCTCCAATCCAGTTTTATTTCTTATTTCAAAATGAAATAATGAGCAATATTATTTTAAATTAGAAGATACTATTTAAATCTTCATTTTTGAAGATAAATTTTGATCATTGATTTACTTATTCTTTTCTTTCGTCAAAAAATTATATATGTCAATATTATCCTATTATTGTCAAAATTTAAGTAATTATTTTCATATGATTAGATGTCTATATTAAGAACATGGAAATATTTCATCTCTAAGAAAATTTAACTCGATTAAGAAAAATCAAAGATAAATAAATTCAGTTTTTTTTTTCAAAAATTGCTTTGCTAATCACTTATTAAAAATGTATATATGATTGCTTTCTCTAAAATATAATATTATAATATAATTGTGTAAGATAACAATATTTAATTTATATTAAATAGTAATTGTATTGAATAACTTTTGAAACAAAATAGTTGAGTAATATTAGTAGATATGAAAAATGTAGAAAGTGTTCTTTAACAATTAATGATAAATTGAATATATATAATTTAGGGGCCCTATAATTTATTTGGAAAATTCTTTTACAAAAAGAAAATGAAACAACTATTAGAGTAAATATTGTTTTCTTTCTTAAAAATGTTTTGAGAAAAAAGACAAATTAACCAGAAAAAACAAGTTACTCTTATTTACCCATGAGTGAAATGGATGAGCAGTGAACCCACTACTACTAGTGAAATCCTCGAATTTAGTATTATGCACATTTTTTGGTTGACCAAAGAAAAAAAAAGTATTAAAATAAAATTAAGAGAGAAATATTTTATTCTTGTTACTCTAAAAAAGAAAGTAGTTACATCATTTTATTACAAATTTTATCTCTTTTCTATTTTGAGGGTAAAATTGTTTATTTTTGAAGTTGAACCTATAATAAATATATACAAATAAAAAAAGTATTTTATATTTATTTATTTCTTCTAAGTTATTCTTTTTTTCCTTTTTATTATTTAATATCATTTTTATTTATCACTCTTGAGTGTTCCGATTCATATAAAAACTGATTTTTTTTCTTCTCAAATCAGAAAAGACAAAAAAATCAGAATAAGATGGAATAGTCATTTTATGTAGAGTATTTGCAACTCATACATACACTAAATTCCATAATTAGGAGAGTACCAAAATTTAGTACTCTTTATTGTTTGCATAAAATAAAATACTATGCTGTCCGTACTACTACTTAGGACTGTTCAAATACCGAACCGAACCGAATCGAACCGAAATAGATAATATGATTTGGATTTGGTATATATCATATAAACCAAATGGATATGACTTTATAAAATCCGTAGGATTTGGATATGGTTAGGTTTATAACCGATTAAACCGAACAAAACCGATCAAAGAAAAAATATATAAATATATACATTATATAACCATTTATTTTATTGGAATAGTCTTTTTATTTTTATTTTTATACCTTGTGAAGATATATCTTAATTATTTTATTTTCTTCAACTATTATCTAAATTTGATTTGATCTTACATGTTGTAAGAAATTGTGAAATTAGATTGTACCATGTAATTTATTTGGAAGAACAAAGAGAAAATAAGAAAATCTATACAAAACTGAATCGTTGATCATTTTGTTTGTTGTTAATTTCACATTTTTATATTTATGAACACCTAGGATTATTTTAATAAATGATAGTTTTGAAAATATGTTTTTTTAAAAAATTCATATAATATGAAATCAAATCAAATAATAATGTTATTTGGTATAAACCCGAATAAACTGAAAACCGGTAGTATAAATACCGAACCAAACCAAATTAAATATGATTATAATATGGTAGCTAATTTTTATAAACCGAATAACCGAAAAAAATCGAACCGAAACCGGACCGAACACCATATTGAACATGCCTACTACTACTCTATCACCTATTCAGTACCCATATCTTCTATTAATCTTAAGGATTTTTTTGTGTGATTTTATTATTATTATTTTTGATTTTTTTGAAAAATGGCTTTAGATTCTATTATTTTTGTTTATCCTAGATCTATTCATTTTTTTTGTTAGAAACAATATCACTTCGAGAAACAACTGAACTCGTAATAACTTTTTCAGCTTCAAAATTCAGATTCAATTCCAAACTAATTACTTCTCGTCTTTGACACCCACATATTTTTTAGATTCTAAACTGAAATTAGTGGATTCAAGAGAACGGACCAAGTTTTTTTTAATTGCAAGCTAATACATGTTTCTATTAGATTTTGAAATTAACAACAAATGACTTAAATATTTAATAACTTATAACATTTTTTTCCTCTTTGCTATTAATCTTGAATATAAATGTGTTACAATCAAACAATTTATATGATATTTGCCAAATTTATTGTTAGACCGTCCACATTTTGAATATCTAATACTCACACCGTTTCATTTTAATTGTCATTCTACGTTTTTGCACACAGATTAAGGAAACATTTAATTTTACATATTTTCAAGAAAAAACACAATTACCTATGAACCTAACCACTTTTCAACCAATAGAAAAATAAAATATCATACTCCCTCTGTTTCAATATAAGTGTCACTCTATAGCTATGCAAACGGATTAAGGAAACAATTAATTTTACATATTTCCTATATAAAAACACAATTACCCATACACCTAACCATATTTTAACCAATTGAAAAAAAAATTACATAATAAATTAATAAATTTTACATTGAAAACCGAAAACGACACTTATTTTGTAACACAAAAAATTCTCTACAATGACACTTAATATACTCCCTCTGTTTCATTATAAGTGTCACTCTACAGCTGTGCACACGTATTAAGGAAACAATTAATTTTACATATTTCCTATATAAAAACACAATTACCCATACACCTAACCATATTTTAACCAATAGAAAAACACATTACATAATAAAATTAATAAATTTTGCATTGAGAACCGAAAACGACACTTATTTTGTAACACAAAAAATTCTCTATAACGACACTTAATATGAAACGGAGGGAGTAAAACGGAGGGAGTATAAAACTAATAAATTTTGTCTCGAAACTCGAAAATGACACTTATTTTGAAATGAATTTTTTTCTCTAGAATGACAATTAATTCGAAACGGAGGGAGTAACAAATATTTTTAACAGCAACATATAATGTTTAGTTGCTATAAAACAAGCGGTTAATGTGTTCTATTGCATAGAACAATCTAAAATATATTTATTTTTTTCATCTTTAACCAACTGAGTCAGCGTTGTTCATTTATCCCCAATTTTAACCTACCTACAACCCAAAGTTAGAGTTAGCATTGGTGATACTAACTCATTAGTAGATGCCTAACCTTTATTATTGCGAACTAATATTATTTTTAGCCAAGCTTTGAAAGCAATATCCAGTTAACAATATTTCAAGTGTAATATTAGCCGATAACATTAATAATTATACGCTAGCTAAGTGTAATATTAGCTGGTAACATTAATATTAGCCGATAACATTTAATGAAATTAACCAGGTAATGCATACTTATTAGCTAAGTGTAATATTAT